CTTGAAGCCAAGAGTCCACAAAAGGCTTGTAAATTTAAGATTAGAATTTGTCATTTTGTAGATCAGAAATGATTTAACACCTGATGCAGTGTCACATATTTTTATGTGTTTGGAAGTTTTCCTTCAATTTAAAAATTTGTAGTTGTGGGGGCGAACAAACTGCACACTAGGTCATTTATATAAATCATTGTGAACATTCATCTATGAAGAGATTTTTGTCTTTTGTGGCACAACATTATTCAGTTCTTCAAATGCATCTCTCCCTTAGCCTACAAAACAGTTTTATAAAACCATAGAGCTTTGGCCAGCCTTTAATTCACAGACAGCCCCTAATATATTTTATAAGCTGATGTACTACTTTCAAAGCAATTATAACACAATCACATCACCACTTGTGTCAGAATAGGTTATAGTTTAGGAGTTTTCTTGTGTTTGACATGACATGACAATAAATGAGTTGTTGGTATGACAGTTTTTTTTTTGTTTTTTTTGTTGTTGTGTGAACATGGATATGGTTACAACGGCAAAAAAAGAACAATGATCCAACCAGGTTCTTAAATAACAATTTCGCCACATTATGGCTTACAACTTCAATTTATATCAAAATATAAAATCTATTGGACCTGTCATGCTTGGATACGTTTCTAATTCACAGCTACATATTTAATATCTGTTCATTTGTGAGATTATTTAAATCTCTGTGACTCTGGGACTTCACATTTCTCAGCTCTTTGTTGGCCTTCAGTAGAATTTCCTGTAGAGGGCAGTGGAAAACAGAGAAAGATATTGAAAACTTTGGACAATATGAGAACATAGTTTAAGCTTTGTTTTCTTGCAAGCAGAAATTATGAATAAAGGTAATGGCAAAAACAAACTGCAACCATCTCATTAAACATGCTGCCTATTGTAATTGTTTGATGGGGATAGAAATTCTGGCTGTTGAACATTGGGGTATGGCAATTATTGTGTAATACCCATGACCCACCACCAGAGGGCGAGCATAATCAGTCCTCAAGGATCAACAGCCACTTCTGCAAATGTATGGATTATATGCATTACGTTATAAAAAATCTGTATAAATAACACTGAAAGGCATTTTAATGCAATATTTTCACAAACTGAATCAACAAGCTGACAGGTCCTTTACTTTTGTCCAGAAATCTGCTCTGCACACACTTTGTCAGGCTGTGTATGCGAGGGCAGTGAATGACAGAAGGCTATTGACAGGCACTACCATACCTTTACCTTTCTCTCTGTTTTGTTTCTTTCCCACCTACACACTACGGTGCAGTGTCCTAAGGCAGGGAGCACTCCACAGGATGGTTTAATTGGAGTGCCATCACTTAGGGAACAGATTAGGCAGGAGTGTTAGAGGCATCCTTCAAAATTTGCCAACACATACTATGAATAGAGCCAGTATGTGTAAGTAGTGGTGAGGTGCTGTTAATGTTGCTGAAGAGACAAATTTATTTCTACGCTGAATGCTGAGATTTTTGCTGAGATTAATAGACTCTGCACAAAGGCATGCTGAACTACTTTTTATAGAGCAGGACAGACCGGACACAGAAGGAGGAACAGACAACACCAGCTGTTTGCTTGTTATTATTTATTATGATGTCATCACAGCCTCATTATTGCACGTATCATAAACACGGAACTATTGCTTTGTGACTGGCTAGTTCTGGAGATCAACTTGACCTCAGTTTAATTTTGCCACAGAGATCTTTTTTTTGTTTGTTTCAGAGCTTGGTGGCCAAGGACACATTCTGTCATATAGCAAGGGCTACAGCACAGAGACCTTTGTAGAACACATGGCAGTTGGCAGAGGCTGAATAGTGGTAGAATGTCCATAGTAAATGGTTTACTGTTTGAAATGAATATTCATGAGTAACACCAACTGAGCAAGCTTCCAGAGAGAATTACTGGGTACATGAGATTACAAAATAAGCGTATAGTAGTGAGAAAGGTGATGCATTTTGAAGTGGTGCATTTCTTTAGAACTAAAAACTATTTTCACTGTCCCATACACTCTCCAGCTCCTTTCTGTACCAATCTCTTATCCCTCTTCCAACCCCCTTCAAGGCCATGCCGTTGGCATGTGCCAGATCTGAGTGCTTCAGTTTAAGTGTGGGCTACCAGTGCGTTGGCCTGGCTTCGATGGTCCTGGCTGAGACCAAGTCAGCAGCAAGTTTCACACATATAGAGGAGATGAGTGTCAGGGGAAAGTTCGAAGGGGTGAGATGTATTGAGAAAGAGAAGGTCAGAGGAAGAGTGTGAGACCGCTGTCCGAGACCAATCTCTGGACTAAATGAGAGGAGAATCGGAGTTAAGTGCTCTATTTGCATGGCATTAAATGCTGGGAGCAGAGTACTGAATTTTGCTCAGCCAAATCTCATCAGTCGCTGCCAATTTGGGTCAGAGCAACCCGTTTTCCCTCTTTTTATTACTCTTCTTTCACCCTCTCGTCACCCCTCCTCCCACCCTCCAATCCATGCAGACAAACAGACATTCCGGCAGCGGATGTGGTGGTGGTTGTCCGTAGCAACCTGCCATGCGGGGTGTATCTTGTGGGAGCAGGACCACTGAGTGAATGGCTAAGCCCTCTGCTAACAAAGACTGTGAATCGCTGAGATGCTTTGAGCTTGAAGTGCTGTGACTTCTGGGCTGTGGGAGTGCTTTACATAATCCAGCAGCAGCTCCCTTCTGCTCTGCCACATCGCTTTCTGCTCCTGCACCTAACACACACACCCCAATGTAGGTCGACTCATCTCGGAGCATCCTCCAAAATTATATCAATTTATCATTCTGTGTGATAATCACAGGGCACAGTTGGAGACCGGCTGTACAAAGGTGTACAGGAGATGAATGTTCATCAGTTCTGTTTGTACCATGCATGAATTTTCTCACAGAGAAAAGAGATTTAACATGCTTGTCTGGGGAAGCAAATAAGTGATTCTGATTTTGTTAGAAATATCAAGTATAACAGTCACTTTATTTTAGACAGAATATTATACTATGTAACAACTTAAGATCAGTTTATCATCATTTACAACCTTCCTTAATGCAATAAATTCTTGCATAAGAAGACACTCTTTAAAATGAAATATGTTATGCTAAATTATCCCACTAATTTAGGCTTAGATTTTCCTTTATCACCTTTTTCTTAACCCTTTTCATCATAGAGGGTTAAGCAGAAAGTCAACCATATTTCCAGTGACAAACAGAGACTAATGGATGTTTTGATACAGTAAATGTTATGTACCATATGCATAGGAGTTCTACTCTAACATCTTTTTATTAGCTAGGATCTGCCAGCAGCTGACACTGTGTGCTCTGCTTCCTCTTGTGAGCCTCTCTGGGACTGCCCAAGCCAGCTGCTCCACGGTGCCTCTCAACGTGAACACATTTAACACAGATATGTAAATGGCACACTTCAATATACTGATAAGTCAATGACGCCATCTTACCTGAATATAAACTTCTCTTCCCCACTGTTCTTTTATTGGAGCCAATAAGCTGGTAAAGTAAAATCAGTGTCATGGGTGTCTAGCAGAAACAGAGAGAAAGTCGCTTTTACCAAAAGAATTCTCATAGTCACTATTTCAACACTTCAGGTAAACAATCAATGGCAGAAGGCTTGACAGGGAATAAGACTAACTGGCATAGTGCCCTGAAATATATACTCTCTAGGTAACACTTCATTTTACAGGTCTGTAAATTCTAGTTTATTTCCAAATAATTACCTAAGATGTTTCCTGGAGTGAACCATGAACCAGTTACAGGTAAAATTTGAGGCTGATCATTTGGTACACTTTTAAATGCTAAGCTACAACAAACTTAGTTTTTATTTAGAGCATGGAAGGTGACTTCCACATGCAAATTGTGAAATTTGTCTACAAACAATCACACAATTCAACATAAAAATATAAAACTAAAACTTTTTTTTAAATAATACAACCTCAAATCAGAAAACATTGGAACGGTAGGTAAAATCACAATTAAAATTGAAAATATTGATTTGTAAATTATCTTTGTCCTGTATTACATCGGAAACAATACAGCAGCACATTATTTGTTGTGATACCTCATCAACTGGGACAGTTGCATTAAAGGGCTGGTGATGAGGCATCACAGAAGTGTAAGTTACTTTTGCCAAGGGCACTGACACAATCCCAGACCATGACAGACTGGCTTTTGGACTTGTTACTGGTAACAGTCTGGATGGTCCTTTTTGTTTTTGGCCCCGAGCACATGGTGATCATTTCTTCCAAAAAAGACCTGAAATACTGATTTGTCTGACCACAGTACATGTTTCCACTGTGTGATGGTCCATCCCAGATGCCTCCGAGGCCAGAGCAGTCGACTGTGCTTCTGGACACTGTTGACATAAGGCTTCCTTTTGGCACAGTACAGTTTTAAGCACCATTTATGGATGTAACTAGTGCCTGACACAGGTGTGCCAGAGTAATCCTGAGCCCATGTGGTTATATCGCTTATAGAAGAGTGGCAATTCTTGGTGCAGTGCCATCTGAGGGATCAGAGAGCTCGGTCATCCAGCTTAGGCTTGTGCCCTTTACACACTGAAATCCCTCCAGATGCCTTGAATCTTTTAATTATGTTAGGCATTATAGAGGGTGACATATCCAAATCCCTTCCTATCTTTCTTTGAGGAACAGTGTTTTTAAACATTTCAATACATTTTCTCATGCATATGTTGCAAACTGCTCCTCTTCAACCCATCTTTGCTCCTAAAGGGCTCAGCCTTTCCCGGATGCCACTTTTGTACCAAATCACGATTGCAATCACCTGTTGACATCACCTTTTTCAAATGGAATCATCATTTCATTGTTTTACCTCATTACTAGCCCTGAATGCAACTGTCCCAACTTTTTATAGAATGTGTTGCAGCATCAGAATTGAAATGAGTGTTTATTTTGAACAAAGAATAAAATTGATGAAGTATGACATCAAATAATGTGCTGCTGTGTTGTTTTCAATGTAATACAGGACAAAGAAGAAGATTTACACATCACTATTTTCATTTTTAATTTTGATTTTACATACGGTCCCAAAATTTTCTGATTTGGGGTTATAAATAAATAGTAAACATTAACCGGGGTTCAACGAAGTGAGAAATTTATTCTATGGAAATTCATCTTGAAGGTAGTAATAAACTGAATACAAGTTTGTGTACTAACTAAAATAAATAAAATACAAAGCACTCTTGGAACTTCATCTCTTATTTTTCTGTAATTATCATCAAACTGCATGATTCTTTCCAGGAAAAGAAATTACTAGGACATAACAAACCTGTAAAGTGTTACCACTCTATACTGAAGTCACTTTTCCATTTACCAAACAAGGATTTGCAACTGGTAATGTAAAATCGATCTCTAACAACCACTACCTGGAGCACGATCAAACATACATTAAGGCACATAGCCATATACAAAACATCACTACATACTATATGTATGGTGAACAAAAAACGTAAGCCACCAAAAATCAATGTGCAAGCAGCCAGTTTTCCACCATTAGAATCTGCATCATTTGAAAACAAATTCTTAATTTCTGGCTAGGACTCCCATGTGCTGTCGCTGACAAATCTATTGCAACACCGTCTGTCTTGACAGTTTTGAGACAAAAAAAAAATACAATCATTTCAGCTCTGCTATTATTTTGCATTCCATTAAAGCATCCCTCTAAAGAAACTAAAATTTCAGCGTGGGATTGAACTTAGTGTTGCTTTGTTGAACACGTCTGGAACTGTGGCCCCTTAGATAAAAACTGTTCATGATTACAAATGCAAAAATGAACATTTGTATCAAAAGCAAAACAAATTGGTTGTTTAGCACATCTGTCAAGATGGGAATAAAGTCTCAAACTGAAAACTGGTTGAGTTTGATGAATTTTTTGTACGTCCATTGCAGCTGTTTTAGCGTATCCACTTTATGCTTTTGTCCACATTCACTCTAGGGTTACAAGACTGTCAACATTGTGCTGTTTGAACCATCAGTAGTATAATATACAAATGTACAGATACACAATCAAAATGCATACATAATTATTACAATAAGACCTACAAAAAAGCATAAGAATAAAAAGTCTGTGGGATATTGCAGGTGAGGCAAGCAGAGCCACAAATGTGCATCCATACTGGGGGACACACACCCTCCTACCATGATTAAGCGCATGTCTATTTACACTGCATCATAACAAAGCTATCAAAAACAAAGGCTCCAAAAATTCCTCCTAAAAACTTTTTTTGTTCTTTTGTGTCTCTACTTACAATAATGTTGATTCCACGTATGTACATCCCTAGAAAATAATTTAATTATAGTTACACACTTTCTACATTTGTAAAACAATACAGTTCTAGTCCACAATGAAGGTTGTTTGTTTGTTTGTGCATGTATT